GTTTATAAATAGCACTTCTAAAAATAATAAATGAGGACCAAACTGGTTATGTTACAAATAGATATATTGGGTTTAATCTGAGACAAATCCAAGATGTTATAGACTACGCAGAAACATACGAAATTGAGGTGGAAATTATTTTATTAGATTTTTCGAAAGTATTTGATTCGTTAAAATGGGATTTTATGATTGGGACTTTAAAACATTTTTGTTTTAATGAATATTTCTTAAATGGGTCAAAACTATGTATATAGACGTTCAACCATGTGCCATGAATAATGGTTAAGTATCAGAAAATTTCAAAAATTCACGGGAATTCCGACAAGGCTTTCCTTTATCAGCTTTATTGATTGTTTTGGCGGTTGGAATTATGGCTCTAAAATTCAGTAATAGCAACGAAAAAAAAGGAATCACTGTTAACCACAATATTAAGATTTCGCAATTAGCAAATGACACAACCTTATTTTATAAAAATAGACAAGATGTAGTATCTGAAATTAACGTAATAGAAATGGCTGGCTCGTTTTAGGATCATTGATAATAGAAATAAAACAAGGATTTTGGATTGGGAAGTTAAAATCATTTCAAGATAAAATAGCCAGAATTAATTGGGGGTAAAACCTATTAAAACTTTAGGGGCGTTTTATGGTCATGATGAAGAGGAGTCCAAAATATAATTCGGATTGTAAAATAGAAAAAAAATAATAAAAATTGTCAAGACGTGCGAAAAAAGATATCTGCCTATTTTAGGCAAATACAAATACTTAATATAAAAGCACTAATGTTTGCATTTAATTTACATTCATGGGAAGTGTTTGCTTAATTCCAGAACGTTATCTTAAAGAACTAGAAACACGAAGCTTTAAACATATTTTGGATGGGAAGCCCAACATAATAAAAAAAACTGATTATACATCTATATAAAAAGGGGGCTTACAAACGGATGATTTTTAAAGTTATTTTATGTCGCTAAAGGCATCATGGGTATATAGGCCTATAAATGGTAAATTTGCCAACTTATACATTTTAGATATTTAAAAGTGTCTTATAACATTTCGTTTATATGCAACATTAATTTAAATGATCTTATACATTTAACATATGTGTTCCAGAATTTTATAGAGTAGTATTAAAGTCTAAGAGTGTGACTGCGGGTGGATAAACAAAAACAACCATAAGAGATCAAACAATGTGTGAGAATGAATTGATAACATTATATAATAAACCAATTATCTTTAAAAAAAAACCCAGTATTTAGAGTGGTATTATATACTTTAATAATACTATGGATGACACTTTGTCATTATCAGTATATCTAAAAAAAAACAATTAATTGTAAGGTTAAATTAATTGCTGAATTTCATAAATTGAAACAATCTATTCCATAAAATTGGATTCATATTGGTAAAAAAGAAGATTCTTTTAAAAGAAAGTAACTGTCCAGAGAAATAAAATCACATTGAAAGGTCATTATTTTGAGACTACTTATTTTTCAAATAAAATGTTATATGACAATAGTGAGCAATAAAAAGAATCGTCAGTAGGGATAAACAAGTGGCTTAAAGTTCTTCTTTTGTAAGAAGCTCCAATATGAGTTCATTGTTTAATTTAAATGAAAATAAATTAAAAATGTTCAAATGGAAACTGCTACAGTGTGTTATACTAACCAAAAAACTGTTTTCACAATGGAAAATTACTAACAATAATGTGTGATTTTGTAACCCAGAAGAAGACCATGCTCATTTTTTTTTTACAAGATTTTGGTAAAAAATAAATGATTTCTTAAAAACAATAATATAGCTCTTGTGATAAAACTACAACACCCAATATGTGGGTACATTATCACCGACTACATGTATTACTTAATAAAAATACTTAGTTTTTCCATATAAACGTCTAAGCAGAAAACAACAAACTATAGGTGTCTATAGAATTTTTGTGAATGAATATATTAAGAGAGAAGACACCAATGGACATACGAAAATCAGGACAATGTGACTAAAATTTAATAGAAACATAATCAATGAATAATTTTATAATATTGGTACTTTAGTGTTAACTAAACAAAATGTATATGTCAATAAATCTAATAAACTGAATATTCCCTGAGTAGGCAGTGGAGGGTAAAAGGGAACGTCAAGAGGGGCTTGGAATCTTGATTTTTTTTTAACAAGCAATATTTGATGAATAAAATTATACTGTTGTTAAAAACAAAACAAAACAACAAAAATAACTATAAAATTCAGTTGGAAAGGGCATTACTCATTTGATCCTTGAAAAGTAGAATAATAGCTAACAGTAACACATACCGGTCGTTGCGGCTTGTTTATACATTCTCAACACAAAAAAAAAAGACGCAAAGTACAGACCTGAGAGTACTCCCCGTTACGTACAGCTAGTTCAAGGCCAATAACAACTAACAACTAATAACAAACAGTATCCACATATAGGACTAAATTATCAATCCGTACATATTAAACATCCAATGGATTTGATGTAAAGACACCAATACATTTCATTGGAAACCATGACCTTGTACAATGCAAAAATAAAATGTATTAGGTTGTAGTACCTTAACAGTGCATACATGTGCTAAATCAAAATCTATACCTATAAAAAGCAGATCGTATCTTAATGTTCGGGCTGTTTTAACAACATCACCGTAACAATAAGGATGTGTTATTTCGTTTGAAATAAGTGGTCTGGAAGTCAAGTCAAACTTTCAAATGAAACCCTTGTATCTTTGGAAGAATTTAGTAATGCACTTTGTAGCTATAAAATCCCTGACGTAATAGATTAGCAGTTATGTATAGATTATTCTCTCGTTGAACTACAAAAGGTCACTACAGACATGTTTATAGCGAACGGGTTTTGAAGTAAAGTTTAGTGTAGAGTTTCCAGTATAGAACTGAAATATCTTAATCTAGGAAAGACCAAGTATTGCTTTTAATATTTGATGTATTTCACAGTAATGTCCCCTTAAGATAAATGTCGGCAGATAAGCAAGGACATCTAAGCCATGTTTTTACCTAAAACAAGTTCATGAATCCACCTGTGTCCTTAAGTAAAAACATGAAGCACCTAGGTTTTTCTTACTGAAAGGGCGAAAGTTCTTATCGGACCTATGTGCATTTTATTTCAATCATGTTGTTGCCATTTTCTTATCTGTTTGTACCCTTTACGATCAATATCAAAAAGTACTGAAGAACAATCGGAATTATCGTCGTCTATAGAATAAAATGATCCATCAAATTGTGATTGATGTGAAATTAACTCTGAAAACTTCGTTAAATTACCTCTTTTTAATTGTGTTATAAGACATAGACAATATTCATAATCAAGTATTGACTGAGGGATCTGATTTTCTCACTTTGTAGTACACTATACTAAATAACATTTTCAGTGCTTGGTATGATTTTTTCCAAATAAGTCAATTGCTATAACCGTCAAAGAGAGGCAGGCAAAAAGATATGTATACCGAAGGGATATCCAAACTCATTAGTCGAGTATAAAATGACTATGTTATGACAAAAACAAAAGGGACAAATGAATCAGTATAGCTTACAAAATTTCAAATGAAATAGTTACATGTAACCTATGTTTCAGTCAATTTGGCCCAAATCGACATTTCTTATTTGCTATAAACAAATAACAGTTATAATGATTCAGACTCATTACTAATCCCCGGACTCTAAAATGACATTTTATATTTTTATCTATATGCAGTTTATTTCTAAGTCGCTATCTTCATCGCTTTATGACTTAAAAGGATATAATGATATAGCACCGACATAGCTAGATACATTGTTGTAATACAATTAATTATCTAATTACTACCACAATTTGATATTAATAAGTATTGTAATTTTCATTGTTATTAATAAATGTAATGTCAGTATTACAAATCTAATCTTGAATCAATCCTAATCCTATCTTAATTTTGGGAAATATTTTTACAAATTCAAGTGTGACGTCACTTTGTGTGTTTTTTTTGAATTTCTAATGTGACGTCGCTTTGTGCGTTGATGCTTTGGCTAACTTGGCTGTGTATTTTTATATGTTGGATTAGGTTGTTTTATGTAATGTATCCGTTTTTATTCTGTAGTTAGTCCCCACTTCGGTTTTATCATGTATATCTATTATATAGTCATTTTATAAAATTTACTGTTTGCAAAATTATAAATTATTCTAAATAATAAGGATGTTCTTGTCCCAGGCAGAAAACTCTGGCCGTGTTAGGCGCAACTTTTTGGAAGTTTTGGTCCTCAGTGCTCTTCGGCTTTGTACTTGTTTTGGCTTTCAAGCTTTTTTCATCTGAGCGTCACTGGATGGTCTGGTGTTGACGAGACGCACATCTGGCGTATTGAATTTTAAGCCTAGTACCTTTTGTTAGCTATTATTCGTGTGTTTCTTTGTCCTATATGTTCTCCCATTTATTTGTATTGTGGTCCTGTCATGTGATGTTGTCGTTTTGGTGTTGTGTTTGACGTTGCCATAAAAACGGGAGGTTTTGCATGCCACAAAACCAGGTTCAACCCACCATTTTTTTCTTAAAATGTCCTGTACCAAGTCAGGAAAATGGCCATTGTTATATTATAGTTCGTTTCTGTGTGTGTTACATTTTTAATGTTGTGTTTTTGTTGTGTCGTTGTTCTCCTCTTATATTTCATGCGTTTCCCTCAGTTTTAGTTTGTAACCCGGATTTGTTTTTATCTCTATCGATTTATGAGTTTCGAACAGCGGTATACTACTGTTGCCTTTATATAGGAAATGATAATGCATTAATACTATTTAAAGTTTATTTATTCTTCTATGTATATACGTATCTGACCTATCATTTCATCCGTTGATTGGAAACATTAGATCTTTCTCATGGGTTATTTGAATGTATTACATTACATGAGTTATCAGTAAATTATATTGTATATTGTACCTATGTCCAGTCATATTTTCAGTGCAAGATTATGGTCGAATATGCATTTTTAAGTTTTATATTTCAGAATCGGAAGAGAAACTTTCCAAAGTTCTACTTCAGGCAATTAAAGAAGACATAGATAAAATGGGAAAAGACACTACAAAAAACACAGTGGTTGAGTTTCTAAAAAAGGTTTTATTTTATTTTTATAACATATTTTCTAATCAATTAGATAATTAACATAAATTTTTACCATGAACTTATCAATAGAAAATAGACAATACTTTATTCAAACAGTAAATACACAGTTTTCAAGATATAACATAATAGAGACAAACATATCTGACCGTATCGCGGTCTATTGCAGTGAAGGACGACAGAAGGAAACATAGACTGTGTGAATTTTTGGCTCGTTTAAAATTCATACTTTGTTGGAATAGATGCTATTCAAAAATTAGCACAAACTATTTTTTTAGTAGTTTTCATATTTTGTTGTCAAATTTGGGATTATTTATTAGAACACAACTTTTAAAGAGATTGTTTAATTCAGTTACCAGTTATCCAACGCACCGATCATTACTTCGTCATTTCACTTGACTAATATATTTATCTCACAAACGATGAATTCTTTAAAGCTACTAAATCGAAATTAAAGTTTGCAAAAATAAAAATATTTAATCCTGAAGCGAGATCATATCCTCATTTTTTTTGGTTTACACAACTTGCTTTTTCTTCTTTTATTTTATTTCACGATACTTTTGCCAATGGTAAATTTCAGATCACTGATGCATCTTTGTTAAAGTACTTTGTCTCCTTTCCGTAGAATTTTATCAAATGGAATTTATAAGAAAAAAAATGATTACGCTTTACTGCATCAGGTTATTTTTATCCTTCGTATGAAAAACGGACATGAACGGAATAGTTGCTTGAATTTTTGATAAGTAGAATACTAATTTTAGTTGCATGATCAACTTATGATAGCAAAGGGATATTATATTTACTGGTCTGTGCATGCCAATAGACGTTAAGCAACCATCAATAAATCGACAGTATAGTAACTTCAGTTTTATTTCTGGCGAGGCAAATGATCTAAATCTTGGCAGTCAAAGCCTCGCGTGGTTAATAGACGTCAATGCCAATAAGGAGTGGACATTTTATTTTAAATACGAATTGGAAAATAGGTGTATGAGTTTACTTCGAGGTCAAATAGATGTGTCCGGGTAGGATAACGCGTCTTCAATGTGGTACCATACACAGTTTGGTTCATATTCATCTTCTCAACCAAAATATGAAAATATTAAATACATATGCAACAAACTTATATATATGGTTCTACATTCTATTGATACTATATGTGTTGTTCCACGTTGCGTATACCATTCCCCCTTTTAAAATCCTGGATCAGCATCTGGCAACAACATCTTATTTAATTATGTTGTTCAAACATTACATATTTCAGTTAATGATTTATTCAGTACAATGAATTCGGTGACCCTTCTTTTAATTTTTCATTGATAAAATGAATTAAAGTATACGTTAACTTCCTTCATTGGGATACATAAGAATTACGCTTGGACTCCGATATCATTCCCATTAAACAAAGTAGTACAGAACACTCTCAAATCGAACACACCTTAATTTAAAAAAAAAACAGCATTTTATTATCAATACATTTTATAATATATTTAAAAAAAACTTTTGATTTGAATTAAAACGGAAGCGAGTATTTTATTTTAACTTTTGATGTTTAAAGAGAGACAGATTATGAAAATCTTTTGTTTAGATATTTCTGAAATTGTCAGAAAAACATCCTTATAAATATTTGCCAAACAACACATATAATAAAAAGAAGATAAACTATATATAAAAAAGTATAATAGGGCGTTCACCTGCAAAGTATATTGAATATTTGAAATCATGAGAGATAACTCAAATCGTACGTATGATAGGTATGTGATACGTGTGTTTATACGTGATCTTTTTTCAGTGACAATTAGGGTGGGAATCGAGAAAACCACGTGATAATTAAAAATGCTAGATTTTTATGATTTTCTATCACTATAAAATTATTTTATATGGACGAAAACTCCAGTGAGTGATTTTGAAAGTCTTGGAATACATTGTTTGAACTTGAGCAACGTATTTTATGAAATTCAATAGTTGGCAATAACCAGTCAAATTATGTCTGTACGTCAAGTTACGTACGTTTAAAAAGAAGATGTGGTATGATTGCCAATGAGACAAATCCCTAAAAGATACCAAATGACACAGAAATTAACAACTATAGGTCACCGTACGGCCTTCAACAATGAGTAAATCCCATACCGCATTGTCAGCTATAAAAGGCCCAGAAATGACAATGTAAAACAATTCAAACGAGAAACTAACGACCCAGTGGTGTAACAGTACAAAATTAGGACAAATTTAAAAATCAGTTGAATAAAGGCTTAACTCATCAGATTGATACAAATACAAACCACACAGTGGGTGTATGCCATTTAATGAGGAACATTGGTGAAGATTATCCCCACTTAATTACAGGTGGCGCTGTGGTAGATCAGGTCCAACAACATCTGTTTGTATGATAAGGAAGTCAGCATGCATTCATAGGCATGATACACTTACATGTGTATGCTGATAATTTAGTCTTAATAAAGATGTTTTGTTTTAATTTTTATATTTATAACTATTTCAAATATTTTAATGATACAATATAATGTCAAAAGTTTTGTAATTGAACACTGCCTGAACTAAGAAAAACAATTGAAATTAAGAGGTGCAGATGTAACAAGAAGACAATTAAGAGAGTTGATTAAAGGATAGCTTTAAAATATATTTATAAATATAAATATAAATGCATTATTATCATGTCTTTCTTCATTAAAAACAAATGGAATATAGAGAAGTTTTTAGAAACATGTATTCATTACTGAATATTTAATTAAATTTATTTACAAAAATATTCAAATTTTAATGAATTTTTCGGTTTGGTTTTCATTTCAATTAAAATTTAAACTATATACATCTATATGACAAATTATAAACCAAATCTAGCTTTAAAAAAAAATGATGGGTTTTTCAACAAAAAAACTATAAAAAAAAATATCTCTCAGGACTCTTATCAAAAAATACTAGGTACTGTAGTTTAGCAGTACAAACAGTATATCTGAAATACTTGCGACTCGGAATCGAAAATGACTTATTGTTTGTCAATTCAAAGTGTCATACTTAAGTGAAAAGAAAAATCTCATACAAAGTTGATGTTTTGCGAAAAAATAGAGACCTCTTTATTATTGTGTCCAATTGTGACTGTGCTGCTGGTATAGTCACAACAGCTCATAGTAAACATGTATAAATGCAGTTTGTTTTGGTATGAAAGTTTGTTTTTTTCAAGGAGTTGAGGACAGAGAAAACTTGATCACAACATTTGCGTCTCTAGGTGGATTTACAGAAAACAATATAGTATCAGTAATCAAATGCCCATATACATTCAAAAATGAACTTTTCACACCTAAATCTGTTCCTTACTTGTCTGAAGTAAATGGGGAGTAAGTGTTGAGCCAAAAAACATCATTATACTTTCAACTACAAAGAAAAATGTTTTGATCTAGAAAACAAGAATGTGATTTTTTAGTGTACATATTTAAGATCAGAAATTAATATCAGTTCAAAGAAATTAAAAATGTGTTGCTGAAATGAAAGATGTTTTAGAAAAATATTTAAAACAAGCAGATCATATTTATTTAATTATTGTTTTGGAATATGAATACTTTTCATTCACAAAAACTTGTTATTGATGTTTTATCACTCATAAAAAAAAGATCATAGAAAAATATACTTATTTTGTTTTATTGCAATTGCCCATTTCATTTTTTAACTTCCCATTTTAAATATGGAAACACATGTATATCCACCTCTTTTAGAACATGCAGGTACACAACAAAATGGCATTTTAGTGAATAAAAACTTATTATTTTAACTTGTAAACAAGTAATTAACACACTGTAATTCTAAATATATAGGTTATAGAAAAGAGATGCTGTGTGTGTTGGACCTGATCTACAGCACTGCCACCTGTGTTATCATTAAAGGGGGAAAATTTACCAATGTTCCTCATTAGAAATCTCAAATATGACATAATACATGCACGTAAACACACTGGCATAATTAGTATAAAAAAAACATAAAACGATTAAATGGTAAAAAAAACAGCACAAATTTCAAAAATAACATTTAACATGTTTAACTCAACAAGCAGACAAATCGTAAATATTTATTAAGAATTTTCAAGAATTTAAAATTATGATGTCAGTTTTTCTATATAAGTTCAGTCACACGGCGGTGCCTGACCTATTCCCGAATATAGATATAGGAAGAAGTGTGCCAATGAGACAACTCTCCATCCAAGTCACAATTTATAAAAAGTAAACCATAACAGGTCAAGGTATGGTCTTCAACACGGAGCCTAGGCTCACACCGAACAGCAAGTTATACAGGGCCCGAAAAATTACTAGTGTAAAACCATTCAAACGTGAAAACCAACGGTATAATCTATATAAAAACGAGAAACGAGAGACACGTATGAACCACTTAAACAGACGACAAACACTGAACATCAGATTTCTGACATAGGACTTGTGCAAACTATCATACTGATATAGATATAAGAAGATGTGGTATGAGTGCCAATGAGACAACTCTCCATCCAAGTCAAAATTTATAAAAGTAAACCATTATAGGTCACAGAGTTTGAATTTTAATTGCTGTACGACGTGTCTCGGTATGGTATTTTATTACATCCAACACTCATGTATTCATTTTTAAAGTTTTGGTTGGATAATGTGTTATTTCATATCGTTTGTTGTCCAAATAATTATAAAACAGCCTTTCTATACCATCATTGTCCTGAAAATTCATTTGACCTGTGTTATGAAAATAATTGTGTAAAGATTTTATATCTGTTACATAAGTACTACAAAGTTTGTGATGTCTAGTGACGTCTGCCGTTGATAGAAGATGTTCGTTGTTGTTTTGCGGTTTGCATGTTGTGTTGACTATTATATTATTTGTTTGTACGTTTCTCTGTGAAGGGTGTTCTACGTGATTTCTGCTGTATTTAAGTCACATAGTGTTGTAAGTTTGGCGATATTTTTTATCATTGCTAAAGAAACAATAATCATAAGTCTGGTAAA